GAACCTTGACAGCAAGCAGGCGGTGCAGTGGTGACGACTTGATAAGCAACTGTTACTTAAACATGCAGCATTGGTAGAAGCGCTGTGCCAGCATGCCCAATGTACTGCCCTGCTTCTCACCAACCGCCCAGCACGAAAAGAATTCCCAAACTCCGGCAACGTGTTAAAACTCTGCAACACCCGGAACCCTAAACCATTCTACATCCAGGCCTATGGCAAGTGCTCTAAACCCTATGCAAATCGTCAAACTCCAAAACACTCTGAACCCGAGCTTGAGGTGCAGCCGAGATGCTGCGAAAGAGAGTCCAAGGTCTTGAGCGGTCCTGCCGGCGTCGAATGTCTGGTTTATACCATCTGCACCACCAAGTACCAAGGTTTCGGTATTTTGAGCTTAGAGGGTATATTTGTTGCTACTGGTTCCTTTTCACTCCAATGCCTGCCCGTTTATGAGTAATGCTGATGCAACACTGGTTTACGTCGCACTCGATTGTGGTGGACTTTGCGATGCTGCACCTAGAACGGAAAATCTAGTGACTACTGGTACTTTAATGCCACTACTACTCTGCCTGCTGCTGATACCTCGTCCTTCATATCCTCATTCTTCGCTCTACCATACAAACAAAAACATGGACTCCGTACCCGAAATGCTGTCTCTGTCGTTTTTGCAGTTTTTGCGGAACTTCGTGCACAGGCCCCCGAACCCTCAAGATCACCCAAAAATGGTGGCATCAAATACCGGAAGCAATCGTGCATGATGGTGATATGAGGATTGTACTCTGCAGGTGGCGAGTGTCAGCTTGCGTCGCAGCTCTGCAGTGATTCAGGATTAAAGCTTGAGGCTGGCAGACGCATAAATACAAACCATGTGCGTTTCATATTTACGTATACACTTATGACAGAAAGGGCTCTACAGCACCATAGTTCATCTGAGGTTAACTACTAGGGAATGGTGGTACTACAGAGCGACCAATGACGCTGCTAATCATTCGGTCTCGGCTTTTGTTCGCTCCCTGGACTGCATCTCCCAACCGCCTGGCTCATCAAATTCCATCCGCAGCATTGCCAACACTGCGCTGACGCCTAAGGAGTTTTGGCTTTAGGTTTTATTGGCTCGGGGGCTTATTGTTCGTGATACTCTCGAGCTCGCGAGCAAACCCCGAACCTGCGGACCCCCTAAGCTCGAGTAGATAATCCCAGCCTGCACAGTAGGGTTTAGGGCTAAATTGCCACGACTGACAGCGGTTCAATTCGTACTAACTGGACTGGGACGCTTCCCAGGCTTGCTGTTTGACGCGGGAGTTCCGGAAATAGACTTCGAGCCGAATAGCCGGATCCTGTTTATGAGGAACCTTGCCCTTTTCCGCCATCACAAGGAGCCTTATACCGAATTTCTTAAAACGATTCAATGCATGTACGGGGCTCTCCGTGCCTGTGCTCCAGGAATGAACAAGCGTTGCAAGAAGAAGAAGAAGAAGAAATCACAAACCCAAAATCTATGGGGACCTTAATAAAAAGAATAGCGGGGTGAGGTAGGATAGAGGGCGATCGGACCTGAACGCAGTTGAAGTTCCACAGATAGAAATTGATAGAAACGAGGAATAACAACAATAAGAGCAGTGATGAGAAGAAGAATTGTCATACGACAAGCACCGTGGCAATGATAGCACCAAGAATGACAACAGCAACGGCAACAGTAGTGTAGTAATATATCTCAGGCAAGGCTCTGCTCTTGCCGTATTCCACACCTCCGGAGATGTTCGGGTAGGGTGCCGCGCGACCCCTCCACCGGATACCCAAGTCACTATTCCTATACTTATCTATGCTACGCGCCAAGCGACGTTATCTTTGTCTGGCTGCAGCCGCTTAGCTTAATCATTCTGAGCAGACAAAAAACCCTGAGCCCTAAGCCCCTAACCCCCGTAACCTAGAATCTACTCTAAGAAATGAAGCACCCTCCAGTTGAGTTCGGCTGGACCAGTGGAATCGGACATCAACTTTTCCTTTGAACATAGACCAGGCACGTCGAAGAAGCTCGAGAGGTCATCTTACTGCTCAAGTGTGTATAGGTCGCGTTCTTTCTGGACCGCATACAACTAACTACTGCACAGTTTTGCACCAATTCCTGGAAGCCTAAACGCCTAAGGGGAGGTCGCAGGGTCGCAAGCAAGTGTCTGATCCCAGGTGCCGAGGGCGCTTAGGGCTTAGGGCTTAGAGAACTTAGGATTTAGGTGGGGGTTTTAGGTGCTTGGGATCTTTGCTTACCTCTGGAGGCTTCACTCTCTGGGCAGGTGTCCCGGCCTTTCAAAACATTCATTGATTCAGAGATCACGTCCGGGAAAAGCGCGTCGCTGAAGATGGTGACCTGTGCGAACCGGTACGTACATCACTCCACATCTTGGTCCGGTGCATCGCACAATGTTGAGTCTGCACGTTGCTTGCTGTTGGTGCTGCTATGGGTAGATGCGTACCGTTACCTGGAGCCGTAGAGCCTGAACAAGGTACTGCACGTCCACCTGGGAATTGTCACGCTGGGCGTACCCGAAAGCCATGTAAGCAAGGAAGGCCCCTGCACCGAACCAGAGAATACTTCGGGGTTTGGGAGATAGTGGACTTTCCGAAAATGGGGGACCCTAATCTAGCAGCCCAAATGGTAGGATCCTTATTACAAGGACCCCAAAAAAAAGGTACCCCTAATTTTCGGAAACTCCCATAGGAGTCTCAGAACGACGCCAGGATCCCAAGAAAGACAGAACAGAGTGGATTAGTTTAGGGGCCTTTAATAATTAGAATAGGGTTTTCGGGCCCATTATACTATACTCATAGGCTCATAGGCCCCTAAGGCTCATCGGCCCCTAGATTATGTCATGATCCTGATGGCCCAAATCGCAGCATGAAGCTTGATCCTGGAAACCCCACCAAATTGTTTCGAACCCTGAATGCCGGATCCCAAAAAGGAAACTTCACCCTACAGTAGCCCCGAATCCCACGGCTCGGCTTGCCTCCTCGATGCGGCCCTGCACAACCTGCCGGGGCAAAACGGAGGCTCTTTGCATGCAGGCTTCTTGGACTCTTGGAGTTTAGATCTCAGTCCTAGTCTTGGACCCAAACTCAACGCGTCACCAGAAAACCTTCAAGCTCGGCACCCAAAGCCCGAAACCACATGGGCTTTGTGATCTCGGTGTTTAAAAGGCTTATTCGGGGTGTTTACAAGGCTGAAGGTTTAGAGCGTTTTTTTACAGCTGTGGCTCCATGCGATTGCCGGCCGGATCTGCCCGTCCTCGTCCAACCGCACGACCACTATTGCTTAGAAGGGGCCCCCACCCTGTAATAGTGGTATAATAGGAATATAACAGGGCCCTGATATAATCCTCATAGTCACTATTACAGGGTGGGGGCCGCTTCTAAACTATTGCGATGGCAGTGGCTTCCAGACTTGAAATCCGGGCATGATGCCGCCACCCGCCCAACATCGTCTCACCAGCAGAGCACCAATCATGAAGCCGTCCACCCTCAACGCAGAAGCTGGAATCCTAGAGCTTTACCATTTTCATGTTTATCACTCTTGTCAGTGTTACTAATACCACTATTGGAATATTCATTACCATCTTGAGTTGGCGAAGTTTTAAGCCCAGTCTCCAGACCTTCAAGCTCTTTCAATGACAGATAGCTAGCTACACCACATAAACCATACATTACCCTTGACGCATCTTCACCCTAGAAACGTCCCTCAACCTTCCTGCCCAAGACTTCGGCACCGCGGAAAAAACATTTTTATGTGTATGTAAATGTGTATATACCTGCATATATACATATAACTATGTATAAATTTGTACGCATGTAAAAAGGTATGAATGTGTGTACATATACCGTGAGAAAGCATATGCACATGTATATGTATGTGTATACATACATGTGAATGCATATGTATGTATGTGTATATATATATACATATATATATATATATACATATCATAAAACCCTGGCCACTATACTTAAAGCGACATTTGAAAGGAACCCTTTAAACTGTCAACAAGGAACATCAAGGAACCCTTGAACAGAACTCTCAGGCCTTGAGATTCACATCGAAGACCCCAACGCCGTCGATACGAGTCTCGAACCTCCGCTGGGGATGCAGGAAACCAACACGTCCAAAACGCTAGGCCTGCGAACCCCAAAGGATCCGAGCACCAATATCGTAGCTACTTAGTAGATACTCGGGTCGCGACAGTAGAGCCTACACCACAACAGTATTTGGACCCTTTTGGGAACCCACGCTCATCCCGAGCTGCTGTAAAGCGCTTGAACCTCATGAATACCTTTAGAGCCTGAAGGCCTGAAGGGTAGGGTTTAGGGCTTAGGGTTCCTAAGCCATGCACGCCATGAAAACCCCCGAACAAACCATCAAACATGAGTTCTAGACCCTGCAAAGCCCGTGAAGAAAATGGGCAAGCACAGTCAGAAACGAGCTGCTGGTGCGAGAACTCCGGCGTCTTGCCCAGGCGCCACTCCTGGTAAGCTAATGTTTTTGATGGATCTTGGAGGGGTTTAGGGTTTAGGGCTTAAGAGTTTTTGGGTTTAGGGACTTACGGTTTAGGGCTTTAGGGTTCGGGTTCAGGGTTCGGTGCTTTCTTGTCGGAATTTTTGGTTGTTAGTTCATGCTGCAGTGCCTGTCGCTTTAGAGCGGGAAGCTCCAGACGGTACTCTCACTCTCGGCAATTCCAGGCGAGGCTTCCAGCGCCGATCTGTTTTGCAACCGATCGCTTGGCAAAAGGCATTGTGCCGAATCTCTGTATACATGTACAAAGCATGCCGAATAGCTCACTTTTCGAACATAAGATAGACCTGGAACCTCAAACTGCTGAGACTTCGGGTAGAATCCTGTACACTGTACACAAACCGTGACATGAGAATCTGCACTCCCGTGCCGCAGCACTCAAATCTAAGGAACGGAAACCCGAAACACTGAATCTTCTGGGTTGGCTAAAGAGCTGCCACTGCTGTCAGAGAAACTCGCACTCAAGAGAATCCCTGAAGTGTCTGCGCATTTCCTGCCGGCGCTTGTGCTGCGCCAGCACCTTGCGAGCAGCAGCCGCGGCATGTTCCGCCGAGCGAGCACCTGTCGCCACAGCTCGGGGCTGCCTTCGGCGACGAAGGGGGGCGGCCGCATCTTCCCCAGTCCATGGGCGGACGTCTTTCCAGCGCAGGGGCGTGTAATGGTGTCGGTCCTGTCGCCGAGAGCTGCGCTGACTGGCGAAGGGACGCCAGGGCCGACGGGGGGCGCGCTGGTAGTCCTGGAAGCAGTTCTCTTCTTCGTCGCCGTCAACCAGATTACACCAAGAGCTGAGTGGATGGCGGAAGACATGGGCGGGCTCCAAGTCAAACGCCCAATCTTCGTCTTCGCTGATGCCCTCCCAGTGGCTGGATCGCCAGCGCACTGGCGGCAGCGAATGCTCTGGCTCTTCCAGGGCACGTGTCCAGGGTAGATCCACTGGGAGGTAGGCCATCCAAAGAAAGAAACCCAAACTGGTCAGCAGATGCTCCTCGGGCCTGTCGCAGCGCAGGTCCCTCAGCCAGGCTGCTGGCGATTCCGGGGCAATCCTGAGCCATGCTGCAAAGAGGATATCGCGGTCCTTCTCCAGCTGGGAGCACAGGCAACGCTTGGGGCTGCCGCAACCGGCACAGAAGTCGCAGCCGCAGCGGCAGAAGACGTGAAGGCAGCCATCTTCGCGCCGAACCAAAGAAAGGCACTGAGGACATGCCTGGCACTCCTCCAGCAGCCAGCGTTCTGAAGGCCCGGCTGATCCAAGGACGACTTCCCGAAGCCTCTGCCCGTGGCTCCCGCTGCGCATGCTGCTGTAGCGCTTCAGTGCCACTTGCTGGCGTTCCGGCTCTGACGCCTCCAAGGCCCTCTCCACATCGAGGGGGAGGAGGCGGTAGTTGCAACCAATTCCGGGGCATTTGATGTTGAATCGGCCCTCCTCCAGAATTTGCACCTCCACAAAGCGGTTCAGACACTTCCAACAAATGCCATGAGCATCGCAACTCCGGTTTGACCAGCTGTGGTTGTGCATGGTGGCATACTCAACAGGCCTGCCAACGTCTTCAAAGCAGATCGGGCAAACGGCTGCCATGGTTCCGAGCTTTGTCTGCAGGTCGTGGGGAGAGTGCGCTTGACAGCCTTGAGCCATAGGCCCGGAGGGTTTACTGTAACTTCAACTCAGACTCTCCCAAGCGTTCAATCTCAGCGTGAGCAATGTTTGGGATGTGCCCCTCTTGGCGGTTTGCGGTCTCCTTAAGAGGATCCTCGCTGGTGCCTGTGCTGATGCTCTGTATGCTAAACCCATGCGGTCAGTACTATCATCATAAGTTGTAATGTGTGCCTTTAAAGCTAGCATCACCTGAACACTGGTTTTGCTGCTGTTATTCGGACTAGCATTTTTGCTGTCAGTCTTGTTGCTGCTGCGTGACAGTAGTATGGCTTTGTGTGGCCAGCCACTTCTTGCCCGTTACAAGCCCGTTACAATCACTCTGCCTGTTGCTAGCAACGACACTCTGAGTCACTGAGTGTCCGCCACAACCAGTAAAGAGCCATCGACTCTCACCGGCAGCTCCTTGTTCTGCAATTCGCCCCGCACGTGTTGAAAGATCAAGTCTTGGGCCATTTCCGAGTTCTCGTCGATCTCCTGCAGAAGCAAAACCCATAAAACTAGAAGACAATTGGCCCGAAAGCATCATCAGCGAAGATTGTGGGGCTATGTGATAGATCCAGTGTATAGGATCGTAAAGTCACAGAGTCAAGAGTCATAGAGTCCATGAGTCATGAGTCATAAAGTCATAGAGTTACAGTGAGATAGCGTCATAGAGTCATAGTGAGATAGAGTCACAGAGTCATGGAGTCATCTATGTACCATGCACTTGACTCGATGTAGTTCACTCTATGCTCTATGTGTGGGAACGCTTAATCGAGATCCCCATAGCGTGAGGGCTCATAGCCTGACCTGGACCTCGAGATGCAGATACAGTCAAGAGTCATAGAGTCCATGAGTCATGAGTCATAAAGTCATAGAGTTACAGTGAGATAGCGTCATAGAGTCATAGTGAGATAGAGTCACAGAGTCATGGAGTCATCTATGTACCATGCACCAAAATGTGTAACTTCACCTCGCGCTCGAACACTCGACAACGCCAATCTGTGTGCAGGGTTGCAAAATTCATCTCAATGCTCATCAAAAAATGCAACTTTACCTCGCGTTCGAACACTCGACCACGCCAATCCCTGTGAGGGGTTGCAAAATTCATCTCAATGCTCATCAAAAATTGCAACTTTACCTCGCGTTCGAGCACTCCACCACGCCAATCCCTGTGAAGGGTTGGAAAATTCAGCTCAATGCACATCAAAAAATGCAACTTTACCTCGCGTTCGAACACTCGACCACGCCAATCCCTGTGAAGGGTTGCAAAATTCATTTCAATGCAAATCAAAAAATGCAACTTTACCTC